TTTCACGCAAATGGTTTTGCCAGCTTGTGATTGAGGTTTTAATTTCCTGTATATCACTTTGAATCTGTTTCACATGTTCTATCTCTTTCCTATATTGCTTATTCAGGGGTGCCATCATTTTTATATTCTGCTCTATTTTTTATCAGTGTATTCTTTAGAAGCACTTAGTACTTCTTTGATTATAGTTATTACTACATTTTTTAGTTCCAAAATTACTTCTGATCTGATTTCTTCTATATCTTTCTGCAGTTGTTTCTTTACTTCCAACACTATTATTTCAGAGATATCAGGTATGTGAATCCAGTTTCCTCTATGCTAGTGTCTTCTGCATTTGTACTGGGTGGACTCGGGGCCTGAGACCGCATTTTATTCCTTCTCTTTATCATTTCTTCTGACCTTTGGTGTAGAGCTTATAGTTATTACCTTCGCATCAGGTCTGGATCTATGAAGTTCAGATTCCTCCAGGTGGGTGTTGCTTGGATCTGGCTGGGGTCTGGCTGCTGTGCTCCACTTCTTCCTGCTGCAGCCATTGGAGTTGAACCCTTTGTGTCACTCTGGCAAGATGTTCTGCTCCTGAATCAGCTGGATGAGTCTTGCTTCTAGACTCTTTGCAGGGCATTTTGCTGAAGGGTTCCACACTGGGCCTGCGCTCTGAGTCTATTCAGGATCCGGCGACCCTGGATACTCTCACTCACACACCAGGCCTCTGCTCCTGGTCTATTCAGGATCCCTGGCTCGGGCGGTCTCACTCATATGCAAGCCTGGCTCTGGGTCTATTCAGGATCCGGTGGCCCAGGTCATCTCAGTCATTCGCCGGCCCTCACTCTGGGTCTATTCAGGATCCAACAGCCCCAAGTTGTCTCACTCAGTCACTAGACCTGCACTCTCATAAACTAGATTTCTTACAGATGATTTAGACACCATGAATTGGTAATTTTTTCCTTCCTGTGATGAAATTGTTATCCTTAACTGAGCTGCGTGGCCTGAGATTCTTTCCTTACATAACAACTTTTCCATGTGTCTCCCCAGGTAAGGAAGAAGATTTGCTCTACAAAGACATGACTGCAAATGAAAAACTGGAGCGAAGTAGAGCATATACATACCAATGGCTTCACACACACATTGGGGTTCCTGATGCAACCAGTTCCAGAAATATAAAAAGGTGAGACCATTTCCTTTAAATTAGATTTGTGAATTGTAAATATATCTTGGCAAGTGAAACGTAGGTTAATTGTGCTAACACAAACAAGACTTTATAGCCAAGGGCCAATACACCGTGTTATTAGGTTATAAACAGGACTTTCATATAAAAGGTTCAGTTGCTCCAGATAAATTTCACCTTAAAATGTTTAGGAAGAACTCTGTTCCCTAACTCTTAATACCAGCAGTTATCTTATACAAGTTATTCTACGTTAGAAAATGACAAATGAAAGTATGGTATGCCATTAATGTTTCTCAGTGTCATATGTTGTTAGTTGTATTTTATTTGTGTTATCATTTGTAATTTGTCAGTTAAAATTGTAGTTTGGTTCTTTTTAGCCTATATGAATTGAACTCCCATGTATGATGGTATCTATCCATTTAGTTCCTTTCAATATGGAAATACATGACAGCATTAATGAAAATGAAATTAAGGCATTTTATAGTTGGAATTGTGCAAATTTCTGTGAACAAAGGAAGAATAAAGCCATAGTATTTTAGGATTTCATCTTCAAGTCTTTAAGTTAATTAAAATTATTTTATGTTGGTACTAATAAATTTAACAATTCTTAAAGTAGCATCCTTATAACTGTAAATAAATGGAACATAATCCATCATTTAACATCTTTATAAACCAAATATAAGAGAATTGGTATAGATATAATACACAGAAAAGTAGAAGCAAGGTATTTCAGATGAACTTTAGACATGTTTCGATGTTTAGAATAACCTGCATTTAGGTATGTAAAACAATCAGCAATTAGTCATGTGATTTCTGTTTTGAAAATAGCTAACCAAAGAAATATTTTAAGAAAAATTGTGCAAGTAATTCTATCAGTGCTAGTTAAAACAAATGTTTATTATAAGCATTAGTTTAATTTACTAAATATGCTAGATTGTTTTAAAATAGGAAGTTTCATCTTTCTCAAAAGATAAAGTACAGTATATAATAAATGTATACAAAACATTGACATTTTTCTATAACCTACCCACTATCACTATTAATATTTTCAGATTCTTGCCTTTTGATGTTTTTATTTGACAAAGATGGGCAGAATTACAGTCACATAGAAATTGAGATTTTAAAGTAACTATGGGACAATGTAAATTAGCATTGATCTTCATGTAGACCTAATATAAAAGGCTATTAGTTCAATTTTATAAATGATGATATTGCCCAAGTTTTTCACTTAGGCATTTCTTTCATATTTTCCCATGCATTTATATTATAATATATTTTTTTCTTTGTCACTATGTAGCGATCACTTCTTGCCTGAGTTAGATCCAGAAGTACTTAATGGTGGAAGAGTTCAACTTGTGGTAAGGAATGGGTTTAAATTTATAGAGAAATGCTACAGACACCAGTGCTCTATAAATGATACTATAAATTTGCAAATAATTAATTTAAACTATGAAAATATCATGACTCTATTTGGGAGTCACTTCACAATACCACACAATAAAATAATAACTGGTTTTCTTGATTTCTATAGTTACAGTGTGACATGGCTTTCAAAATATGAATTTTATTTGACACATAAAAGTATAAGTGTGCTACCATTTTGAAATAAAATTAATCTGATGAAAACTGCTTAATGAGATGAAGTTCTTGAAGATGTTAAGAGTAGAATTTTTGGACTCCTAGGAAATAGTAGGACATCCTCACAACTCAGAAAACCAAACCATGTAAAAAACAAGTAATTGTGAGCTTCATCACTCCAAGTATTATATAGAGAACTAATAATTACACCAAAAGGTAAATAATTGGAGCTGCAAGGAAAAACAAATTCTAAACTTCAGACAGCAGCACTGACTGTGCAGTGCTGAGTTCAGCTGCGCCAGGTGGTGTAGAAGGAAGACCATGGAAACCAAGCTAATGGTCAATGGAAGGACTGAAAAAAATAGATCCCACAAAATGGGAAATTTGGTTCTCTGAACAGTGACAAAAATTTACGGCTTCATTGGCAGGTGATTCTAACATCATAACGCCTTCTGTTTACAACAAGCAACTAGTACCTCTCACTCAGATTCTACATCTGCCAAGGAACCTTATCATTTAGTGTGCCATGTAAAATTTCAAATAAAGATAAAGTATATTATCTTATAGCGTCTAGTGCTGTTAATCATTTTTATGAACAGTTTGCTTAAGGAATTTTCCAGGAAGAGCAACAATATAAATAGAGGATAGCATCTAACTAAAATCTATATATTTATAAAATATAGAATATATAGAGAATGATTGTTCTTCAAAATAACCACTAGTCAGCTATCTTCTTGCACTTTGATACAGACCCCTCTGGCAGAATGGCCTGGAGATGACCCAAGGAAAAATGGTGTTCCAGGCTGTCAACACTGTATATTATTGATTGCGCTCTGGCACAGATTGACCATGCCACATTGAGGGCAATAATGGAGAAAACAAAATTACCAGGAAGTGCCATGATATAAGAAACATTTAATTATTGCACATCTAAAAATGCATTGAAGTCTGTTAGATTTCTGTCAGAAATGTTTCTATGAGCTTGGTCTCCTGCCTCTTGCCCTCTTTACCCACCACCCTCTGTATTCCATATATAATCAGATACTGATAGGAAATGCTCCTTTGCACATTAAGAAGATATATCTGGACACAAAAGTGAAGCAAGCTGGACTGGAAGAGAAAAATACACATGTGTTTTTCCCATGTGCAGCATAAGGGGAAGAGACTGATGGCTTGGGTCAAGACAACACTGCAGGCCTGGGCAGGTGAGCTGCAGCTCAGGGAGGCAGGAAAGCCCTCAATTTGCTCAGGGCCAGGTGAGCAGAAGTAGACAGTTTCCAAGCTGGACCAAGGCACAACTAAGAGGAAGGTGAAAGCAGGTGACTGCAGCTGTTGCTTGCATGTGAGAACCTAGAAGATACATAAATTACACCCAAAATAGCAGGAAAAGAAGCTCATAAGGCAAAGGTGACCAAATGTGCTAAAGTTTAGGTGAATATACAAATGAATCACTTGAAGGCTAGGGAGATAGCACGGTGGCATAAGTGCCTGCCTTGCAAGTGCAAGGTCCTGAGTTCAATCCTGGGTACCGCAGAAAAACAAACAAAACAAAAAAAAAAAAAAAAAGGAATTGCTTTTAATTCCAGACATATATTTTTTTCTTTTTTTAATGTATTTAGTTCAGGGTCTACAGGGTCTCACTATGTAGATCGGGTTTGTAGTGATCCTCCTGTTTTCAGCCTCCCAAGAGCTTGGATTATAAGCATGCCCCACCATGCCCAATCTCAATCTCATCTCAGTGTGCCCCAGGGTTGGGGACAGCACTGCAGGATAGGGATGGAACCTCCACCTCTACATCTGCCTAAGCAGGCATTGTAGTCCACTGAGCTATCTGGCTGGCCCTATTAATTCCAGATCTTTTAAAAAATCATTTAAGTGTAGGCCTAAACTAGATACAATAAGATGAAATCATGTGATTATGAATGAAAAAGCTAATATGTTTTTTCTCATAAATTGATGGAATTTTCATTTTCTAAATCATGTTCTCTGAAAAGAAACTTAAATGCTTTTAAATTTGAAGTAAATTTTATTTTTGCCCTTACATTTCTTTCTTTGTTTATGTTTTTTGAGTTCTCATTGTCTACCACACATTTAAGGAGATAACTAAATATTTATGATTTTGCCTTTTACATTTAGGTCTATAATCTACTTTCAATACATTTTTGTATATAGTGTGAAATAGATATCTAGGAATCTAGGTTTATTTTTCAAGTGGAAATCTACTTGCCCAGCACCATTTATTGAAAGGGTTATCCTATCCCTATTATATTGCTGTGGTACTTTGTATGAAATTATTTGCATGTTTTTTGAAAAATTAAATTTTACTAAAAACTTGAAGGCACCAAATGTTCATAACTGTTTCACTTGTAACAGTCAAAATCTTTTTCTCTCTCTCTCTCTTTTTTTTTTTTTTTTTTTTTTTTTTTTTTTTTGTGGTACTGGGGATTGAACTCAGGACCCTGCGCTTGCCAGGCAAGTGCTTATTCTACTGAGCTATCTCCCTGGCCCCAACAGTCCAAATCTTTTTTTTTTTTTTTTTTTTTTTGAGGGATTTGTTCTAATAGTGTTTGTAAATAGGATATCATGTCTGCATCTTGTACAGCAGATAACCGCTAGTAAGAGAGGTGTTAATTGGTAAGTAAGTATTGCTTACCGCTAGTAAGCAATGTGTTAATTATTGAAACTGTCATACCAGACAGTTTTGATTTGAAACTGTCTCATTGCTATTTGTCTCTCAATAAAATTATGGGAAAAAAAGCAGTTGAAATCTTAACAGGATCATAATCTCGTTCCATTGGTGAAAGACTAAATAATGATATATATATACAATGGTTATTAAATAAAAATGAATAAGTAGTAGTATGTACAAAGACTTCGATGGATCTTAAGAATATTATGTTGAGTAAAAGCAACTAATTTTAAAATACTCTATACTGTTCAAGCCACCTAGTAATAGGGGCAACCTCAGTGATTACAGTGGCCATGTGGGGAGATACTGCGACTTTACAGGGAAGTAAAGGAGTCGTTTGGGGAATATGGGGCCATTCTTTATCCCGATTATGGCGATAGTTATATGAATCATGTAAATAATAAAATCTCATAGAACCATACAGGAAAACTTTTAGTGTGTGTAAAATCTGGTGATGCTAAGAGGTCTTTAGCTTAGCTATCTTTCCCAGTATCCATTTTGTGCTATCCGTTTCCTGGTTGTATTGTTGCATCAATTTCCTGGTTTTGATAGTCAGACTTGCTCATGTACAGTTTTCTCACTTGGGTGAGCTGAGTGTAGGTACACAGGTAACATTCAGTAGTGCCCCATTCAGTGCTATTTTTGGCTACTTTCTTCAATTTTCTTATTGGTGCATGCAGTATATAGTGATTACATTCCCCCTAGGGAGTCAGTGCATGTACCTAACACGTTTTATTTGTAATTCTCATGGGCAATAGCAGTGCTAAAATCACAAAATAGAAAGTTGGAAAGTAATTGAATTTCGTCTTTTTTTTTTTCAAAATCAGTTGAATATCAAATTAAATTGAAATAATTATAATAAAATGTGCAAATAGTAAAATGATATGCATAATTCTAAAAATACAGCCAAAATAGAATCAGAGATCAATAGATGTGTATAGTCAGTCTATCCCCCTATTTCTAAATCCTATATTCTCAAATTGCCTACTTGCTTAAATGTATGTGTAACCCTAAAATCAGTACTTGTGCTCTACTTTATAACATGAATAGAACAAGCAACATTTGTATCACCTAAATCACTTGTTCCTAGCTCACATGGAATTTGGCCTCTTCAGCTTTCTTACTGTCTTTAAGGTGTGTGCATTTCATTGCATGTAGATTGTATCTGTATATATTTAACACATTTAAGTACCTTTCCACTCATATATTTGATAGAATGAGACTCCTGCCTTATGTATACTGCAAAGGAATTTGTACAGGGTTGAGAATATATTATGCATGAGGGGATATGTATACCTCCTTTCTGAAAACTCAGTAAGAGTTTGAGTCACTCATATGTCTAGATATAGTACAAATGATGATATAATATGTTTAGAATAATTCTGCCATAGCTGGCAAATATTGAAACAATGACAGTAATTAAATTGGACCTCACAGTTGGAAGTGACAGTGAAAAAAGCATGTTACCGAAGAAGGGTACTGGGGTCTAGGGTTATAGTTCAGTAGAATAAGCAGTTGCCTGGCAAATGCAGGCTCTTGAGTTCTATCCCCAGCACTGCAAAAAAAAAGAAGGATATTATTTATATTAATGTTGCAAATGATACTTATCAGTTAGCAGTAACATTTAAAAAAAATTATCAATATGTGCTTACAATGCATAATTACATTTACTCTGGATAATTTGTCTTAAATTTTTTTTTTAATTTAATGTAATTGGTACAGGGGCTCACTATGCAGCTAAGACTAGTAGCGATCCTCTGGTCTCAGCCTTTTCAGTGCTGGGATTATAGAAGTGTGTCACTAAGCCCAGTTTTGGGGCATAAATAGAGTTCCCGGTTTCCAAGGCGGGCAAGGTATGCGGTACCGGAGATCAAATCTGGGTCCTTGTGCTTGCCAGGCGGGTACTTAGACCAACAAGCTATCTCCCCAGCTGTTGTTTGTCTCTTTTGAGGACAGGGTCTTGCTATGTATTTCAGGCTGGCCTTGAACTCCGTATGTAGTCCAAGCTGGCCTCAAACTAACAGCAATCCTTGTGCCTCGGCTCCCTGAGGCCACTAAGCTCAGCATGAGAGACAATTTTTATGTTTTCTT